AGCTTTTGGTTCCTGTCCTGGAACTAGCTCTTGTAGACCAGGCTGGCCTCAAACTCACAGAGATCCGCCTGCCTCTGCCTCCCGAGTGCTGGGATTAAAAGCGTGTGCCACCACCGCCCCGCCCACCACTAGATTTTTAAGAACCTTATTGCTAGAAGACGGATAGTCAGTTTTCTTTAATGGAGTGGCCCACTAGTAGGCTGACCACACTCTATGACACGCCCCAGTCATAAGAGTAATTGGACAGCAAAAATTGGATTACATGGATTAAAAAAAAAAACAAGAAAAACTCAGATGTTGGGTGGGTAAGAAAATGACGGTGAAAATGGGATGAGTTGGGTTAAGTGAATGATTATAAACAAAATAATTGTTATTAAATTCTCAAAAAATTAATACAGATATATAAGATAGTGATCCACAAAAAATAACTAGTTCACCTCATAACTCAAAATTTTTCACTTGTATTCTGCTTTGAAAAACTTGTTTGATCTGCAACTAAAATGCTTCATTATATTTTCAATACTATAGAATATTAAAAAGAAATGAATTTTATGGTTGAGATATAATAAAGGAAATAACTGATTATATCTCATCAAGGACTTTCTTCAACTAAGTGTGAGACTGTAAAGAACCAATGACAAATGTACTATTTGGAGTTTCTACTGTTATTGTACACAGCAGTTCTAAAAATATTTGGGTTATTATGAAACAGTTCTGACCTAAGGACTCCTTGAAACGGTTTGGAGATGCCTAGAGACACACAGACCTCACCTCTGACAACTACTGTTGTAGAACACAGTCATTAACGGTATTGCAAAGAACAGCATATAAAGGAAGAGGCAGTTAAGGAAGGATAAAAGAGCCATGCTTCCAGAAAAAAATTAAGTTGTACAAAGTAATCATTTCTCATAACTCTCCAAGTGTTCCCTATTATTCTTAAATGTCAAATAGAAGATGTCATGTCATCTTTCATAATCTGAAAAAGTGACTGCTAATTCCATAATATGCCATTTTCAACAAGCAAAAACCTATTTCTACCTTCTCACAATCAACTATAAATATAGCTGTGGTGCCTATCAAGATCTCTCCAGTTACATTAGACCATGGGAACCTGTTCAGAAGGGAAATGAGTGAGTTACCTCAAAGTATTTTTCTCTCTCTCACATGGACTTTTATATTGTTCATTAAGAAGTATTATATTGTCCATTAGTAAGTACTCAGGAAACACTTGGAAGTGAATTAGATCACATATATTTAAATGTTGATTGCAGAGACTATACCAACTAGAGACTTATTTCAAAACACAACCAAGTATTTTTAAAACTATCACTTGATAATTGATCAATTATATAAAAATAAAATAGTTCAGTGTTCAAAATTAATTTTAAGCCCTATATTTAAAGGCTTATCACAAAAGGAAATATTTAATAATCCATGAATATACATTATATAATCAATTTTCCCTATGCTATATACAATCTAAGTCTGACAATGCCAAATTTTTATATTTTTGTTTTAAAAATGAAATATTCATGTGTGCTACCTTTCATTAGTAGTCATTAGTAGCAGTATACTTCACACGATCACTAAAGAATTCTCCATACGTCTTTCATAGGGATACTGTTTTTTTCTAATTTTACTCAGTATATAAATAGGTTTTATTATGATAATACATAGCATGATGTCTTATTCTTATTCACTTCCACTCTGATTTTTCCCACACCCCCTGCCTCTTGCTGGACCAGACTCCACTCAAACAGTTCTCTTCATTTGATTTTGTCACATATCCTTTATTACTCACTTTTTCAACACTCCCCTATTTCTTGAAATTGTTCCTCCCCCTCTACTGTCTTGTCTTTTCTCTCTCTCTGTCTGTCTCTCTCTCTGTATATGCGCGCGCACACACACACACACGCACGCACACAATACACATATACAAACATATATATGTTCTTCATATGAGTGAAAACATAATCACACGAATGAAAACATGAGGAGTTCATGTGGTCCTGGACTTTTTTGCTTAACTTGGTAATGTACTGCTTCTCATTCCTGATATAGGTATATATGCGCTGTTTGTACAATCTTGGTTTATTTCTTATGAGTTACATATCAATCAATTTATCCATTTCTTCTGGATTTTTCAATTTATGAGTACAAGTTTATAAAGCATTACCTAATGGTTTTATGAGTTTGAGTAGTTTGTTATCCCCCTTTCATTATTACTTTTATCAATTTGGGTCTTCTCTATATTTTATTGGTTAGTTTGGTTAAGTATTTGTCCATTTTGTTTACCTCCTAAATGAATCAATTCTGCTTCATAACATTCTTTGAACTGTTAAACTCCATTTCATTAAACCTTGCTTCATTAATGTACAGTTTTATATGACTCTGACATTAGTAGGATTTTGTTCCCATTAAATAGAATAAAACATTTAATGTCATAAAACTTTACAACATCTAAAACTCCTATTGCTTATATTTTAACAGTGGAACCTTAAATGAAAAACTTAAGTAAGATTGTACAGCCTGAAGTTTCTTGGAACTTGGCCTACATGTATCTGATTCACAGCCTTGGCCAAATTCTTGAATATGATCAGCATATAACAAGTCACACCTACACAATGCCTACACAAATGATGCAATACCGACAAACAAGTATGTTCACATCCTAAGAAGCCAAACAAAAGATACCTTCATAATATCTTTGCTTGGTGAACTACATAATCTCACTATTTTGTATCTTACAACTATGGACTTAAAAGGAGCTTCAACAATGACTTTTTTTAAACCAAACTTTTTGCACAGTATTCCCTGAATTTAAGAACCACAACAACAACTTGTTAGCCTGTTGTTATATTTAATATGAATATGTTACTGAGAAAAACTCCTTTTGTTATACAGTATTTTTAATGAAAAGCAATAAAAAATTTATATGGTTTAATATGTTTCTGCCTTAAAGATACTGTCAACGCTAATGCATTTGAATAGGTTTGCTTCTTTCTGATCGCTATCAATCTCATTTCTGAATTGCTTAAGAAAGGGTTCCAGGCCCTATGTTATATATTTGTAAACAATAGTGTGTATTCCAGGCTTTACTTAATCTTTCCTGCTCTGATTTTTCTGTTTCTATCCATATTGCCACTTGCTTTTAGGGTTGTGTTTTTCTCCTCCCTTTGATTTTGGAATGTTTGAGAATGGGTTTCATTATGTACCCAAGATAGACTCACAGCACTCTGTACCCCCCCCCCCCGCACAAGCCAGCCTCAACCTCAGAAGCATCCTTTTTATTCAGTCACCTAAGTGCTAGGGTTATAGGCAAATAATACCATATCCAACTTATGCTACTTACTTTCAATTTTGATTGTTATTTACCTATAGAATTCTTAAATCTTTTATGATACAAAGCAAGAAATAAATGCACAGATAAATATATATTATATATTAAGTAACAAAACTTTTAATAACTTCATATGCTTCTGTGTTATTTTATTTGTCAAATATTTAAGCATTTATACTTTGAGATATAAAAACTTCTCTGTTCTAGATTAATATATATCTCAGAAACATTAAAAATAAAATTATCTAGAATATATACACCTAATTTACAAGTTAGTTTTATAATACCTCCTCTACCAACAACCTATTAATAGGCCCTTCTGGTTTTTCTTTCCACCCTACTCTTCAAGTTTTCTCCCTGTCTGACTTGGTTTTCTGCTACTATGACAAACACCATGACAAAAAACAACTTGAGTGTTAAGGGGTTTATTTGGCTTAAATATTGCAGTCCATCATGGAGAGAAGCCAGGGCAGAAGCTCAAGGCAGGAACTGAAGCAGAGACCATGTTGGAATGCTGCTCACTGGCAAGCTTCCTCTGCTTTGTTCAGCCACCTTCTTTACACAGACCAAACTCACATACCCAAGGAAGGTACCACCCAATGTGCTGGGCCTTCCTACACCAACCATCAATTAAGATAATACTTTACAAACATGCCCATGGACCAAATTGATGAATGAGGTGCTTCAACTGAGATTCCCTCTTTTCCAGGTGTTTCAAGTTGATAACCAAGATTATCCCATAAGCCATTTCAGTTTGTCTTTTATGTCCTAAAAATATTTCTATTTATTTCATATATTCTATAACATAAAGATACCAGACTACATTCAAATAATTGTCTAGTTTATACTCAGCAATATATTTTTTATTAAATTACTGTGCACACACTGAATACTCAGTAAATATATTTCCTTACAAATGTCTTAATCACTGCTCAATTGCCTTAATTTTCCACTTTATAACTAAATCTCAGCTACTATGATATCTTGTTTCTCCCATATTTCTCCCCACAAATAATGATCGCAGTCATTTTCCTAAAGGCTATCACTTACTATATGCATTAGAAAATTTTCCTGCCTTAGATTTTGGTTATACAATCTACAGGATCCAGATCCACATACTTCCTTTCTGAGAAACATATTACCAAATACTTAATAAACAAATACCATATATGAATTAATATTTCTAAAAAATTCTTCAAAGCAAGAATCTCACATCATTTCCAAATCATCTAAGATAGTTCTACTTTGCTTTAAGAAATGGTAGGATAGCTCCTGATTTCAAACATAAATTACAGCATAAATTCTAAAATCTCATACAGAGCTAGAAACAGAGGTAACATCACCAGGATATAGCCAGTTATGTCAGTGAACATAAAAAAGGACATCTAAAATATCTTCATAAAAATCAAGTAGGTGATTTATACAACCAACAATGAACATGGTGTGGTTTTAACCTAGAGAAATATAAGCTCAGAGGATTAGGATACCTTGACTGCTACTGATGATCATAACAAAATCTAAATCAAAACAGAAATAAAACATAAAACTAAACAGTCATTTTCACATACATTGAGAGCTATAGAAATCATTTTTATGCATGTTTATACATTTCTATTAAATATCAAAAAGAAAAGCAAATGTAGGAAAAAGTATTTATTACCTTTCCAAAAGACCCCTGACCAAGAACCTTGAGCAGGTCAAACTGTGCAGAATCTGCTTTCTCATATCCTTCTTTCACATGATGTGTAATAGGGATTTCTTTAACATCTTCATCCTTCAAAAAAATCCAAATAATACTAATATGCAATTCCAACATTATATGATTAGTTCCATTTCAAAAAAAAAAATTCTCTTGCCTCTGCCTTCTGTATACTGAGATTACATTCATGTGCCACCAAGCCCAGCTCTTAATATATAATTTCATATAAATGAAAGCATGTGAAATAAATTCATGCAACAGTGTTATAAGTAGATAACAACACAATATTAAAAACTAAGATTTATTTTTAATTGTATTTTATTGATGTTTAGATGACTACTGCATTTACATAATTCTTTCATCCTTCCTCCAACTCCTCCTATTCGCTTCCTCTCAAATTCATACCCTCTGTTTATTATTACACATATATACACATAAATATATAAGTAAGCCTGCTGAGTCTATCTAGTATTGTTCATATTGTACATATGTTGTTAGGATTGGTGACTTGGCACTGAATAATCAATTACGGAACTCATGGAAGAGAGCTAGACTTATTCTCCTCTCTCAACAGTCATTAATTGTTTGTAGCACTTCTAGGGATGGGTCCTTGTGAGATTTCTACCGTCCATAATGGCATGTCAACTAGTGTTATCACTGTTTAGGTCTTGTTTATGCAACCTTACTGTTGAGATTTCATGGGTGCAGCTTCCCTGTCCTATATAGAGAACACTATCTTCCATCAGCCAGTATGATTCCCTGACTCTTATGATCTTTCCAAACATTTTCCATGATGTTCTTTGAGTCTTAGGTGTACAGTCTTAGATGTGTTGTAGATGTATCAACTGGGGTTGAACACACAACAGTCAGTTGAGGAACTTAGATGCTTAAGCCCCTCACAGAAGTGCAACTTATGAGACAGAAACAGAAAAAGTAAAGATTAAACCTTGCAAATTGTGAGAAAGCAAACATAAAATCTCAAAAGTCCTTTTAAATAGTAATTTACTATATTCTTAAGTATATTAGTATCCAGATCAATGCAAAGCAAACTCACAAAAATAATTATAGAACTCAAAAATGTTCCCATGCCATGAACTTTTATTAATAATTTAAATATAAATAAATATAAAAGTATCCTACTATCTATGTTAGAAAGAAAGGAATCCTCCCTGGAAATATTTCTACCCCATCACAGATGACAACTCTCAGGTGTTACAACTATACTCAAGTGAGTTGTAATTCTAGTCTGTATGGAAAGCACAGTAACTAATATTTTTTCTTAATCTTCATGGATTTCCTATTACAAAATAGCAAAGCTGAAGGTATAATCTCTGATTCAACTCCATTACTGTCTAGAAAACAAAACTGATACACTCAAAGCTTGAGTTCTACAATATCTCAAGACAAATGTTCTTTATTCCATTGCTCCTTTAATTCTCTGATTAATCAATGGTGGCTGTGGCTAAAGAGGACAAGAGAATGGTCCCAATGAGCTAGTCTTCTTGACTGCTAAAATAATATCAATGACACAGAAAGTCAGATATACACTCTCAAGTGTGGTTGAACTGAGTATTACTATACTAGGGACATTTAAGAAATTATTAAGAAAAAAAAATAACATCATATGGCTATGACGTAATCCCAAATGGCTGATAATCTTACACACACACAAAAAGCATGTGCAAATAAACACACACACACACCCACCCACACCCACACACACACACACACACACACACACACGGGGTAGGGGGTATGTGAAGCCATAGACCATCTACAAACTCAGGAGAAAGACCTCAGAAAAATCAATTTTGCCAACACCTTGATGGCAGACTTAATAGAGTCCAGAATTGTGAGAAAATTAATTTTTGCTGTGTAGGAAACTCAGTCTGTGGTCCTTTGTTAGGGCAGTCCTAGAAAATATAGACAGTGCCTATCTGTGAAAATGAAGTTGGTACTGTAAAATAAAAATTTAATAACTTCCAGAGTTCACTGCATTTTCCACATTAAATGACAAATCTGAGACACATGTGACTACAGTGTTAGGTACTTTTATAAAACTCAAAAGTATATTTAATATTAAGAAAAAATTAAGAAGGCTAAACCACAACTTCTATATTATGATCATTTTTTGTTTTAAATAAAGGAAGCCAAGAGTGCTTAACACTAGACAATCAAATACTGCGTCATTCATTTGACAACTGATTTGCTTATGGGGAACTGTTATAATGAAAAGGAGATGATGACAGTCGCATTCTATTATACCTCAAATACAGAAGAGTCACAAGATTATAAGACTAGCCTCCAGAACACAAAGGGGGGCACTATTTAAAGAATAAATACTTTAACATTTATATAACAATGCGAAATCTGTTCAAATATTTGTTTTATTTTAAGGCAGAAAAGATATTTTAGTTAAAAAAGAAATAAAACTTAAAAAGACGCCATTTTGTTGTAGACTTGTTAAAGCAAGTATGGAGACAGAACAACATGCAAAGAATGTTGCAATGTCACTAAAAGTCACGCCAGTATTAATGTAACGTTCTTTGAAAAAGGCTAACCATAATGTAAATAATGAAGTGCTACTAGGTAAATTCGTCAAAACAATGAACACATTGGAAAATAGTTGCAAAACACTACAAGATTACATGTTGATGACTCGAGACCAAAGGATGAGAGTAAACTAATCTTTATTTAGGCTGATCTATTCTAACTATATCAGTCTTGGTTCACTCATCTATAAAATAGAAATAAACCCTTTTGTAGATATTTATAATACCTTTAGGAAAAGAACAAAATAAGCATCACTATAACCTTTAAGGTTCATCTGAACATTTTTAGATGTTCTTGATAAAAGTTTAAATTTTATTATCATCAAAATTGAAATGTTATTGATATTAACCAAATTACAAATGTCAAAGTGACATCATATTTCTCTTGTCAACCCTAACTGCAAGTATGTATCAAAGTCACTGTCTACTGAGTTAGCAGCAAAGAACATTTCAAATGAGTCTTAAACACAAATGAAATACCTCTGCTAGTTTCTATATGAGATAAATTTACTGATGAATATGTTTTTAAGGGATTTCCTAACTATCTGCAACACTACATAAGAATGGTATTTTTATCTATACAAGACAATCACCTAACAGGAGACAGATTCTAATATGTGCTGGTCTAACCCACCTGCTAAAAACCATAACCTCTCTAAATCTCAAAAAACAAATCTATACTCTGAAGAGAAAATAACAAAATAATTCATTGGAAGTTCCTTCTAAATACAAAAAAAGGCTATAAAAATACCTAAAAAGACAGCAACTATGAAATCATAACATTAACAGAAATGTCCATATTAGTCTGATCTTTCCTAAAATCTTAAGAATATTTTTCACAAAACTAGATCTTATAGATTATGTCTTTTACACAGGCCTTAAATACAATGACCAAATAGGTAAACAATCTTTAGAACTAGTTAAAGTCTTCTGAAATAATTTAAATTCTATCCTTTCTAAAAGCTAAAATATGGATTTTAAATATTTCAAGCCATCTTTATAGTCCCATTATGTTAAAGATAGCTTTCCTTTCTATTCTGAAGTTGAAAATAATCTCTTTTAGTTTAATCCAGGGGATACTGCATTAAAATAACTACATTTCTTATATACTAAAATGTAAAAATGCCGTTTCTTATATTCAAATTGGTGATTGTTATGGCCTGTATATTGTCAACAAAGCTGTTTTTTTTTTAAAGTCACACACTGGGCAGGTTTTATGATTAAAAGCTGTAATCCTAGTACTTGTGAAGCCGAAGCAAGAGGAGTGTTAGATGTTAAGGTGAGCCTGAACTACAGATGAACTACAGAGTAAGATTAAATTTCATCAAAAAAAAAACCCACAGGGTAGGGATGGAGCCCCATGTGTATACCTAGTGCATGCACAAACAAAACATATGAAATTTTTAAAACTTTAGATATGAAGCACGGAGATACATGCCTATGATCTCAGAAGGTGGAAGTTAAAGCATCAGGAATTCAAGATATCCTTAGTTACACTAAGTTTAAGAACAGCTAGGACCACATGAAACCATTTCAAAATTTTACATTTATTACAGACTTATTAAAATATATTTCTGTAACTGATAAAACTTTTCTCTTTTCCAATAATTTTTTTCTTTATATGCTACAAATGGAGTTTACTAAATTAACATGATACTTACCAGGCTAGATTCTGGTTCTCCCTATTCCATTGGCTCATCAACCATTTTAAGATCATTTACCTGAAAAACATTTTTCAAAATGTGAAGTTCAGTGATATTGAAACAAGAATAACTAAGAAAAATATAACACTGGGCATTTCCCTTCACAATCTAACAAGTTCCTGAAAAACAAAAGGTCAAGGGTACTCAGAAATTATATAGAAAAGGAAATTTATAAATTGAGTTCACATATTGTTCTTAAAGCCTCAATTTTCCATAGTTTTACATTTCACAACATGCTTCTTAATGCTGTGCCATGACCAATGACCTTACACATACAAATAAATCTCCCAGAATCTAACTTAGATATAGCCAAAGAATGTTACAATAGGAACAATTTCATATGAATGAATAATGGAAAATCTCATATGCTTCAATTTTAAATTCATAAGATACCATACAGAAATAAAACTTAAATTACAAGAGCTTTAAGCAGCTATAGAAACATTTTCACATGCAAAGCTTTGGGGATAATTACATGTATTGAGGCACTAATTTTAAAAAAGTAATTATGGATGGTTTTGATCAAGGGTTTACAAACTATGATCCATAAGCCAAATCAGGTTAGCTGCCTTTTCCTGAATAAATGCTACTAAAATACAGTCACAGTCATTTGTTTCCACACTACCTATGATAGCTTTCACATTAGAGCAAAGTTAAATAGTGTGACAGAAATACTGTAACTACAGAGATACTGAAACTACAAGGTGTTAAATATTTATTGTTTGGCCTTTTACAGAAAACGTATATAAAGATCATTCACTGATCTACAGGGTTTGCATATTAAATAACAGTAAGTTGTTCTAAATGAAAAGGAATTTAACCAATGCCAACTTGTAAGAGATCACAGAAAAGCAAAATTAGATGAATAGACAGAAAGAAGGATGGATTAAATAAAACTACTAGTGACACCGGCACCTAAAATAGAAGAAGTTCACTAAGTCTACCATTTCCCTGATTATCAACTAAAAATTCTATTTAGAATGCTAAAGAAACTATCCTGGGACTCTGGGAAGTAAACACTAACAATAGAGAAAGATACCAAAATTTGATAAACAATTCAGAGTTTATTTTCTACCTGTATCTCCTGACTTTGGTCAGTGGGGAGACTGAATCATGGAATCCTCTCTACTATAGGCCTAAAAAAAAAAAAAACTTCCCACCGGGCGGTAGTGGTGCATGCCTTTAATCCCAGCACTCGGGAGGCAGAGGCAAGCGGATCTCTGTGAGTTCAAGGGCAGTCTGGTCTACAAGAGCTAGTTCCAGGACAGGAACCAAAAAGCTACGGAGAAACCCTGTCTCGAAAATTAAAAAAAAAAAAAACTTCCAAGAAGAATATACTTCTGGGGTAGTTATCATAAGAAATCTTTCTAAACTTATCCAGTTTTCCTTTTTTCAACATCCAACCACACTAAGGCAAGGACCAATTGATGGAGGTGGGTGTTGTATCTTATCTGTTGTTTTCATTTGTTAAGTAATAAAGAAAACTGCTTGGCCCTCTGATAGGGTAGAATTTAGATAGGCAGAGTAGACAGAACAGAATGCTGGGAGAAAGAAGCTGAGTCAGTCAGTCGCCATGATTCTCCTGCTCCAGACAGATGCAGGTTAAGATCTTTCCTGGTAAGCCAGCTCGTGGTGCTACACAGAATATTAGAAATGGGTTAAATCAATATGTAAGAGCTAGCCAATAAGAGGCTGGAACTAATGGGCCAGGCAGTGTTCAAAAAAATACAGTTTCCGTGTAATTATTTCGGGTAAAGCTAGCCGGGTGGCAGGACACAGCCCCGCTGTTCATATTACTACAGAATGGCGCCCAGACGTAATGGACTAAATCCACTTAAAATCCTAAAAAGGCTTAAAAATAAGAAAAAGAGAGTTTAACACAGCTCTTTGCTGTTTGTGGGTGGCGTGCCGCAGAGAAAAACTGTCCTAACTCAGCAGCAGAAAAAAAACTAGCTGTTTTAAAATGCCGGCTTTAAAGGCTGTGCCGCCATGGCGATCTCTGTCTGGCTCCTGCAGGAGACAGAGCTTTTAAATGGAGCATTTGGAGTAAAGTGCTACAGCTTGCTTGATGGCAATGTGGACTGCTGTGTGCCTGGAACTGTGTGTGGTTCAGGGGCACCAAATGGCTCTGAGGCAGGAGTGGCTCAGCTCCGCCATGCTGAACTGAGCTGGTCTCAAGCAGAAACTACCGCAATTACTGTCATAACAGCATGTTGTATCTTATCTGTTGCTTTCATTGGTTAAGTAATAAAGAAAACTGCTTGGCCCTCTGATAGGGTAGAATTTAGATAGGCGGAGTAAACAGAACAGAATGCTAGGAGAAAGAAGCTGAGTCAGTCAGTCGCCATGATTCTCCTGCTCCAGACAGATGCAGGTTAAGACCTTTCCTGGTAAGCCAGTTCATGGTGCTACACAGAATATTAGAAATGGGTTAAATCAATATGTAAGAGCTAGCCAATAAGAGGCTGGAACTAATGGGCCAGGCAGTGTTCAAAAGAATACAGTTTCCATGTAATTATTTCGGGTAAAGCTAGCCGGGTGGCAGGACACAGCCCCGCTGTTCATATTACTACAACCAATCAAATGAAAAACATCTCTCCAGAGGAAGCAGGAAAAGAGACCCCTGTTCTAAGAAAGGTACAGGTATAATCCCTTTTTATTTGCTGCCTTTGTCACTAAGAGAACAGCTACAATACTATAAAGCTATGTGAACTAGGGCTTTGAAAGAAAATCCTATTTCTGGCCAGAAAAACAGTATTAAAGTTCCTGGAAAATGGATAATTTATAAGAAATTACAATAGAGGTATTTCTTGATTCTAGGCTTGACCTAATTCAAGTACTGGTTTCAACATCAATCTGTACATGTACATGTAGGAACTACAACACCAAAACACAAGAACATCTTTGAAAAATGATTAACTAATACTCAAAACTCAGACTAACCATGAGTGAGAAATTAGATTCCAGTAAACAGTGCAAGAACATTTATCTAGGCACATGTGAGCAAAGGTATGTGCATTTGACAGAGCAGCTTTAGTAGTAAATGCCATAAATTGGACACAATCATCTTGTCTTTCAACCAGTCCTAGACAAGCAATAAAAGATCACATATCAACCAAAAGGAAGAACCACTAACACCTCTGACAGATCAGAGGACTCTTTCCACACATTTTGTCAACTCAAGAAGCCAATTCCTAAGTGGTCATTATTGAAAGGACAGCTCTAAGAATGCAATGCTGAAAAAAAAAGCAAACTGAAAAAGAACAAAGAAAAACTAACCAATATAAATTAATCAGGGAGCCATCCCATATCACCTCTTCACCCAGAGTTTCTAATCTCTGAATATGACAGCACTATCTTATACCTTACCTCAACAGATTGGGGCATGTGCTATTTAAAAACACAAGCTATAAATTTGTCATTAACAATCAACTTTGAACAAATAATCCAAAACCCAGGAAGATAGCATCCTGATAGGTAAAATTTTACAATCAAGTGATTCTCATATTTGTCTCTACATAAAAGTTATGTATAAAAAGGACTGAGACTTTGACTTCCCTCTGTAACCTAGCTACTGCTTGCATACTAGCCATACCATCTTATGACTAATTTATCATGAAGCTCTTAGTCTGGAGAAACTAGAAATAAAATGAAATGGAATGAATCAAAAAACATCATGGCATCCTGGGAATCATCCCCGTCACAAACAAAACACTTAATTTTTCCTACTTTATCAATCTTCAAAGAACAGGTTTTCAATATAAGAATATCAGTCTATGGAATACCACAGAATTCACTGGTGCTTACTAAAATCCAAATCATTTTTCACTCATGTGAAAACAAAAATATGTCCAAAATGATCTAAGAAAATAAAATTTTATTTAAAAATATAACCTCTAATTTGATAAGATAAACGACATATTTTGCCCCCATTAAGTGTGAAATGGAAGTCCAGCCTGCTACCTATAATCAAAGCACTTGAGAAACTGAGAGGAGGATTGTAAGATCAAGGTCACTCTGGTTTATGCAACAAGATCCTCTCTCAAGACAACAAAAGAATTAAAGGGCCCAAAACCTAAATGAACAGATCTCATGAGTGTAATAAAGAGTACTTTTCAATTATTTTAATTTTCTCAGAAAAGAATTTAAGCACTTTCAAACAGCCTGGAAACATCAAGAAAATAAAAATATACAAATCAGGAAGAGGCTAATGACAATGTAAGAAGTAATAGTTAATGTAAGTTAATAATTTCATTAATAAAACATATATAAGCCATCAGTCTTCACAACAAATATTGTAGTATTATTACATACTAGTATTTTCCAGGATCACCCAAAATATACCTAGCAAGCAAAATGATTGTATGTATAGTATACAATGTTAAAAAAAATACTTAAGAATTTGATATTCTAAAAAAATTTTGTTCTCAAATAAACTTCATTACTATATGTTGGATACTGACAGCTTCTGGAAAAGGTCAATTATTATTGTGATTATTATTATTATTATTATTATTACTTCCCCCCCTTCTTCCCCCTCTACCTCCTCCTTCTCTTAAAACTAGAACAAATTACATTGAAATTTAAAGGTACTTTTGCAATATCTAGAATAATGATCTATGTCTGTATATTGAGTCAAATTCTTGATAACATCAAGTGAGAAACTTCCAAGTGATTCAATGCAGCAAACAAACTCTGAGATAATCCCCCATGATCCTCACCTCTTCAGGTTCATGTTCTTGTACAACCTCCGTTGTCTTACAAAGTCTGAGATAATCCCCCATGTCCTCCACCTCTTCCTGTTCATGTTCTTGTATAACCTCAGCCATCTTCGGGGCAAACATATCCTGTGGCTGAATTCCAAAGAAAAATAGCAATGACAAAGGTGATGGAATTTCATTTATATGATTACATTATGCCAAATAAAAAAGTCTAGAAGTTCTCCTTATTGTCTTCATTGAACTAAGTGGTTATGTTGAAAACCCACAAAACAAAGGACTGTAGCCATCTTCTTGCAGTACTAAGCAACTTGAGGGAAGCTTCCAGTTAATAATACTGAGAAAAGAACCATGCCAAAAATCTTTGAGAGTTTAAAAGTAGACCTTCCCCAGTGAAGCCTCCAGATAAGAATGCAGAAGAGCCGAAACCTTGACTACAGGTTTGTATGACTAAGCAGAAGACTTAGTTGAATCATGTCCATATTCTGGCTCATACAAACTGTGTGATAATAAATATATCTTTGTTTAATCTGTAAATTGACAGTAAAGTGTTATGTAGCAACTGATATTTATTACAATCAAATTATTGCTCAAAAGTGTCTAAGATTAAAAGTTCTCTAAAAGGCTTTCTAGAGAAAATTTTTACAGGTTTAATACTTTAGAAATGTTTTTATTAAACTCATCTTTGTTCTCATATTACTGATAAGAAATTGTAAATTATATCTTACTAAGTAACCTAGGAAAAAGAGCTAAAACTTTAAAACATTTGCATAATAGTTAAGACTAAGAAGATATGCTGTCTTTTAATGCTGTTTTCTGAAAATAAGTTACTATCTTAATAAGCATGTTATAGAACACATTAATTTCATATTCCTTTCATACACAGATGCTTGAGAAGTTGAGGCAGGAGAACTGCTATGGCTTTCAGGCCAGCCTGTGCTACACAGCAAATTCTAAGCTAGGAATGTCTACAAAGTGAGATTATCAGCATTTAGCTACTTCTGATATATTAAGTTATTCAATGAAAGATTATTTAAAAAATCACAAAAATACAGGCTCAATTTACAGCACACCTCAGAACATATCCTAGAATTTGTTTTTTTACAAACACAATTCCATCATAGCTGCAGATACGAGTAACCTGTATAGTGCTGATAAGTATGTAAAACAGCAAGATGTCATATAAATCAAGCTGCTACTTAAAAAAAATTAATGTAGAATTAGCATATTATATATAATTGTACTTCTGGTTGTGAAACCAAAAAAACTGAAAGCAGAGTCTCAAAGACATCACTGTGTACTGAATGATCAGAGCAACAGTATTCAAAACGGGAAGATGAAGCAACCTAAGTACATGTCAGTAGTTATATAAATAACAGCGTAGTATATGTACACAATGGAATGTTATTCAGCCTTAAAAAAGAAACAATCCTGACACATATTACAAAATAGATGAACCCTAAATTGATGATTTTAAGTGAAATAGGAGACTAACAAAAAGAAAAACACTTTATAATTCTACTTATATGAAGTGCCAAACAAGCCAAAGTCATATAGCCAGAAGCTAAAATAGCAGCAGAGGCAAGTGGCTCTCTATTAGTTCAAAGCCAATCTGGTCTACACAGAAAGATCAAGGACAGACAGGGATACATAGTGAGACCCTGTCTCAAAACCAAATGACCAAAAATAATGAATTCAGTTGCATGGAGAGGTTTTAAAAGGGAAGGTCTGGCAAGAGCCTGGGGGAATGGGAGTGTGGAGATGGAGGAAGGGTGGATATAGGAGCAGGGAAGAAGATAACTACAGCAAGGGATCCATTTAGGGTTGGCAAGAGACTTGGCTCTAGAGGGGATCCCAGGTGTCCATGGGATGTCCCCAGCTAGGTCCTTGGACAGCAGTGCAGAGGGTGCCTGATCTGTCCTTGCCCTACTATCGTGCTAATGATTATCTCGAATATCACCATAGAATCTTGGTCCAGTGATGGATGGAGATAGAGACAGAGACCCTCATCAGAGCAACGGACTGAGCTCCCAAGGTCCAGTTGAAAGGCAGAAGGAGGGAGAAGAGGAGCAAGGAAGTCAGGACTGCAAGGGGTTGGTCCACCAACTGAGACAGTGTGCCTGTTCTAATGGGAGCTCACCAAATCCAGCTGGACCAGGTCTGAATGAGCATGTGATCAAACCGGACCCTCTGATTGTGGCTGACAATGGGGGCTGACTGAGAAGCCATTGATAAAGGCACTGGGACTTGTTTTTACAGCATGTTCTGGCTTTTTGGGATCCTAGTCTATATGGATGCACAGCTCCCTAGGCATGGATGTAGGGGGGAGGGCCTTGGACTTCCCACAGGGCAGGATTCCTGGCCCTCTCTCAAGCAGGGCAAGAGAGGGAGGGGATTGGGAGGAGGGAAGGAAGTGTAAATAGTTGAATGGAAAAATAAAATTTTTTAAATAAAGAAATAAAAACTCCTTCCGTAGTTAACTAATAGCTACAGTAGATATTTATCTATTTCCAATTTTTTTATTACATTGAATTAACAAGGCTCATGCTACAACAGCTAACATGTGTAAGTCTTTAGGACAACTTGTAAGTTCTCTCCTTCTACTACATGGGTCTCAGGGACAGAACTCAGGTCATTAGGCTTGGAAGCAAGCACCTTTACCTGCCACACCATCTTGTTGACCCACACTTATGTCTTTAATATTTTAGACTTAAGGCCACAGTCGAGACTATTATAAGAAGCTAGATAGTACCTAAAATACTCAAATAACTTGTCTATATTCTTTCCAGATTTCTAATGATACTATATTCCTACATGGATTCTATTCTAAATTCCTGGTCCTTTGACAGGCACAGCCCATCCAGCCATGGCCATTGCTTTGGGATAAGCTTTAAAGGGAGCTATTTTGTTTGAAATCAATCTGAAAAACTTATCTGAAAATCTAAAAAGAGACACTTAAGAACACAAATACATAAAACTTCCAAGCTATTTCCTTAGTCAGGTCTTTAAAAGCAGTTATGAAGCTTTGCTGTGAAATGAATTTGCTAATAACATATACTCAAGGCAAAAAAAAAATCAAAAATATATATAGTCTTTAGAATCTTTACTACTTTAGTTGCCTATTCTCTGCATGTCAGTTCATCTGAACCAAGTTGTGAAGTCACACTTTCTCCTTCTCCTTCTACATAGACTAAATTCAGTCTCATAGTAACTCCCATATTTTTCTATCAGAAAATACTAAATAAGTAGGTATGTTGGCCCATACTAGTAAGCTTAGCACACTTGAGATAAGTTTACTGTGAATTCAATGCCAACCTGGGCTACACAGTAAGTTCCAAAGGCCCTGGGCTAGTATGAAACCTTGTCTTGAAAAAAAGAAAGAAAACAAAAGGAAAGAAAGAGTATCTTATTAAATATCTCATTTCATAAGTTCTAGAGTGAAGAGATCACATCTTCTTACCCTATTACTCCACAACATAGAACATTACCTGGAAATAGGCTCTGGATAAATATTTGTAGAAAGGAATGACTATATTTGTAACCTGAATGATTTAAAGTCAGTGCCATAATACCTGCTATATTTCCTGACTCGAAATGTCTAAAAGTTTCTCTAGCAACTACATAATTTCCAGCAAGTCATTTTGCTATCATTTTGACTCTTAATCTTAGAAATATTTATTTTAAATTATAATTATATTGGGGACAGATGTACAAGTCTGACTTCAGGTATCTTAGAGTCCAGAAGAGAATATCTAATCATATCTTCTGGAGCTAGGGCTACCGGCAGTTAGGAGTCACCTGACATAGGTGCTGGAAATCAAACCTGTCTTCTACAAGAGTAGAGCAGTTTCTTAGCCAGAGTCACCTATATGGACCCTAATTTTCCATTTTAAAAGCCAACAGATCACATGCTCCATCAGTTCCAGTCCAACTGACCTTGGTGATGGAGGACCTTGGACTTCCTATAGGGTAGGGAACCCTGACTGCTCCTTGGACTGGAGAGGGAAGGGGAGAGAGGTAGGAGGAGGGGAGGAAAGTGGGAGGAGGAAAAGAGGTGGAAATTTTTCAATAAAAAATAAATTAAAAAAGAGGAGATAGACATGAGATGGAAAAAATAAATAAATAAAAGCCAACAGAATCCATCTCATTTAAAATAATTTTTAAATATAGCTTAGGTTAGCCATAAGACTTTTTAAAATATCACTTATTTCTTTTTTTTAAATTGATGTTATTGAGCTATACATTTTACCCTCCCTTTCAAGCCTCCTCCAAGGTCCCCATGCTCCCAATTTACCCAGGAGATCTTGTCTTTTTATACTTCCCATGTAGATTAGATCTATGTATGTCTCTCTTAGGGTCCTCATTGTTGTCTAGGTTCTCTGGGATTGAGAATTGTAGGCTGGTTTTCTTCACTTTATGTTTAAAAACCACTTATGAGTGAGTACATATGATAATTGTCTTTCTAGGTCTGGGTTACCTCACTCAAGATGATGTTTTCTAGCTCCATCCATTTGCCTGCAAATTTGAAGATGTCATTAATTTTTTCTGCTGTTTAGTACCACAAGGACATGTGCTCAACTATGGTCATAGCAGCATTATTTGTCATAGCCAGAACCTAGAAACAACCTAGATGCCTCTCAACCAAAGAATGGATAAGGAAAATATGGTACATTTACACAATGGAGTACTACACAACATATTTCTTACAAATTATTCTTTAAATGGCAATTATTTCAAAATGTGATAATTTTAAAAATGTGTTTCTTAAGTCTAATTTCTGTTAGCAAAATTATTACAAATGTCAGGAAATACATAATAAAGCCCTTCATCTAAACTATGGCCCATGTGTCAAATTTTGCCCATTTTCACAAGGCCAACAAGATGAGACTTATGTAATTTTACACTCACCCGTTTCCCTAAAGGTATAGAATATGTGTCATCTGTCATATATTGTTTAGAGTTACCTGAACTCCTATAGAAAAGTTACTAATCTCTAGTCAATATAATTTGTAAATTATAAGCATAAATTTAAGGATGTACAAAGACAGTAAGGTATCCTCCCAGTGAAACAACAGACTAAAATATCATCTCTTTGTGATCATAAGTTACACAGTACACAGAGGATACCGTTTACC